TAAATATAAAAGGCACATCATAAAGAACAGCACTGTCCAATCCACACTACATGTCCATCCGCAATGGGAACCCTGGACTTCCAACAGGCTAACACATTTCAAGGACTTGCCTCTTCCTCAGAGCCCTTTTACGGTAATGCACTGACCGCTGCGCCCTCTGTTTGTTTTCTTTATATCCAGTGCATTTGGACTACCCCGGTCCATTGAGGGCAGCAAGGAGTGCACATACCAGGACATCCGGGATGTAGCCATAGCCCAAGTTGAGTCCATCCCCAACCGCAGGAGTAATTTTTCGGATCCGCCAATGTAGCATACCCAGAAATACAAAATCACATATATATTCATGATTTTGCACAGCCCTGCCATCCTGTAGCAGTAGTTCTGCTATAGGGTGGTCAGGATGCTGTTAAAAGTACACGTAAACCCTAACAATGAACCTCTAGTGATTGTAAAGCATAGTTTTTTTTTCAAATTAAAATAACAAACATGTTACTTACCTGGTTTGTGCAATGGTTTTGCATAGAGCAGCCCCGATCTTCCTCTTCTGGGGTCTCCCGCCAATGCTCCAGGCTCCTCATCTCCTCTCTGTGCCCCCATAGGAAGCGGCTTGTTATAGTGACACACGTGTGGCTCGCTTCCGAGCCATGCTGCCTGTGTACATTAACACAGACATGTGGCTCAGCCTTGCCAGCTCCCCCCTCGCACCATTTGATTGGCAGCAGGATCTCTGACAAACTCAGGTAAGTGGGGGTTTTTGTTGGGGGGGGGGGGTAATAGTTGGTGGGGTGTTTTTTACCTTAATACAGGTAATGCATTAGGATGAAAAAAAAACACCCTGTCTTTACAACCACTTTTTCTTTTTTTTTTGCTTTTTGGACTGTTAATTATACCAAACTGTTATATGGGTTCTATAAGTTCAAAGCGGTAACTGTTGATCCTGCCGGAAATCTTGTGTTGATAACCTCCTATGTTCTCTGTTCTTGCTGACTGTTATGAGTTAGCGTTGTTCCAAGTTCTCTTCTCATCAATACCCCTCACCCTATGTTATAGAGATGAGCAGAGGTGGAGGTGTTTTGTAGTTCTAGCACACTTGCTGTACTATGGTGACAACGCTGCTTCTTCAAAGAAACAGTGCAGCAACTGAACATTGTTGCCTTAGGACAGGAAGTTTGCTACTGGAAGGATTAAAAGGTTAAAATAAACAAAAAAAAAAGACTAAAAATTGAAAGCTAATGCAGACACCACATCTAAGGACCAATAATTACATAGCATTATTATTATACAGGATTTATACAGTGCAAACAGTTTATGCAGCACTTTACAACATAAGGGCAGACAGTTAAATTACAATATAAATTAGTACAGGAGGGATCAGAGGGTCCTGCTCATTATAAATACAATATGTTACATTTTTGTTCTTGGAAAGTATATAGAAAAAATATATATTACATCCATTTCCAGGTGGAATTTATGTGAGGCCTCACTAATATCCAGTAACGGACCCTTGTTCTATACCAGGGTCTCTCAACTCGGGTTCCTCCAGAGGTTGTTAGGGGTTTCTTGAGCAATGAGCAATTTCTGCCTCAAGTTCCCACTGACACCACTGATCTTTTTTTTAATTCAAATTCTTTATTTATACAAATAAAGTAGCCAACAAAGCAGTGCAGGACAACACAGCAGCAACATTTTAGATAAGGTTAAATATCATGCAATAAGAGGACAGACAATGTATGTATACAGAACACAAAGTGCAAAAGTACAAAATGAATGTCATATAACAGATGCCAGAAAGAACAGTGTCTTCAAATGTGAAGAGGTCCATTTAATGAAAAGAACAAACCTAGGGGTGGGGAGAATATCCTATGCATCAGCTATGTGCCGCAGGTCATTGGAATTAGAGCACCCCTAAAGGGAGAGTGATAATCAGAGATGTCACCAAACTACCATACTGCCAGTTACCAGACACAGTACATGCTCAGTTGGATACCCAATTTTCAGGGAAGGAGAAGAGAAACTTGGAAGAACAAGAAGAGTACAGAAAAGGGCGTAGAGAAGGAAAGAAAAAGAGATAAAAAAAGGGGGGTAGCAATAGGAGGGGGAGTGCTATGCATGGGTGCGTGTGTTAAAATGAAGGGCAGAAAGAGGTCAATCACTAGAAGAAGTTTACAGTAGGGCCTTGCCCTCATCAGAGTAGGACTAAATCTTCCAACTTGTTGCTGTCCTCAACCTTGTTGAGTCACAATGAGATGCAAGGGAGGTTTGGATCCTTCCATCATAGAGTGATGTAGGCTTTGGCAGCATTAAACAAGTGATGGAGGACCAATTTCTTGTAGGTCTTAACAGGATGTTAGAGCAATGGAGGAGGAAGAAGGCAAAATTGTATGAGACCGGGAAATCCGTGAATTGTCGACTGAGTCTTCAAACCTCTTTCCAGTAATGGCCAAATTTCGGGCAAGACCAAGAGTTGTACAATAGCATCCCCCATTCCTCTTCCCAATGGCCAAAAGTGTAAGGAGCTTTCTTCTCACTAACCATCACACTAATGTATCACACGTTGTATCACTAATGTATCACTCGGTTCCCCGAGACAAGAAAGTTATTTCATAGGTTCCTCTGTGTTGAAAAGATTGAGAGAGGTTGCTCTATACATGTATAACAATCAAAACTTTTCCAAAGTCATTATCTATATAATGATAAGATTACACCATATTGTATAGTAGTAGAGCATATCTGTGCTGATAATCATGACTCTGTTCAATGTATTAACAAGATAATAACAGCCTATTGAATGTCCCAACAAACACGCTGCTTTGTCACACAATGAAAAGTCTTTGCATTTGTTGTGCTCATAGTAATCTTTCCTAAGGTAGAATTGTGTGGAAATTAATAGACAATCAGCTCGCAGTGTATGTTGATGAATGAGTCAGTAGGTCTTTGGCAAGGCGCACACAGCCAGTACATGAGGAAAGCCATTCATTATGGCAGAGAAAAGAGTGATTCAACTACACAGAGTTATTGGTCAAAGGCTTCGGCTGTCTTCACAAAGTTACTCCAGGACAATGACATCTCTACACACAATGTCCTCACAGGGAGCCTGCTGTTAGAAGTTCATATGAGTGCAAGACAAAAGAACATGAATAGAAACATTCCGAATACGGTAAACCCAAGTCTTGCTGAGGAAATGCTAATGTTCAGCTCAGTGGGTACTGATTTATTATTGGAAATTTTTATCTTTGAGGGAAACGGTTTAGGATTAATTTTCCTTTGCTTAAGCATTTTTACATTTATATATTTTTAAACTAATGTATGAGCCACTGTACATCTCTGTGCTGCTTATATATAATTTTTGCTTTAAAATAAATACACAAAATAAAGTTGATCTAAATGCAATTACTAAAATTTCATATAAGCACTAGCATTTTAATGTCATTTCAAAAGTTTATTTTTTTTATCTGAAATCTTACAAAAATCAAATAATAAGTGTATTCTATGCCCTCCCTAACTATACCCACTATGATAGCTGTTGTAGTAATAGCACTGAAGATATTAAAGTAGCTCTAAAGGCAGAACATTTGGATAGGGTAAGTCAGGGCTATAACTCATTTCAGCTTGTTTTTTTGCCATGTGTGTCCCATTGGGGAGATTTCCCTCCCCAGGGAAAACAGGAAGAGAGAGGAAATCCCTCCAAAATAATGGAATCCCTGGTTGTCGCCAAGGACACCAGAACTAGAGTCCCCATTATAATATTTCCCCTTTATTCCTATTCTGGGGACAACTCTAAATTTGGGATTTTCTTTTACTTCCAATGATAATTGTAAACAGGATAAGCAGTGAGGGTGAATCTCCCTAATGAGGACACAGACCATAATAAAAACCTGACAGGGGTTCTAATGCTTCTCCACACTACCCAAAACTAGAAAAAAAAGTTTTGCCTTTAGTCATACTTTAATTAAGTATTGTGTTTGCAATTACGCATTACCCAGACATCCCACACAATATAAATAACTACAATAACTAATATAAAATAATTAAATAGCAAATAATATATATAAAAATAAATTCATTTTGTGCTATTTAAATGTTATTTATTCATTTAATTTATTTTTTAGTTATGTTTATTATATTTATTTATTTTATTTCATATTAGTTATATTTATTGTATTTATTTATATTATTTAAAATGGAGTTCCACTCAAAAGCGGAAGCTCTGCTTTTTTGCCTCCCCCCCCCTTCATTGCCATATTTGGCACCTTTTGGGGGGGAGTGGATACCTGTTTTTGACAAGTACCCGCTCCCACTTCTGGCTCAGTTTGCCACGGCGAAGTGAGCTGGACGTTCAGCCCCCTCCTCCCTCCCGCAGGCTCCTGGGAACTTTCACAGGTCCCAGAAGACTGCCGGACCAATTAGGAGGCACAGTGCGACTCACGCATGCGCAGTGGACACCAGGCTGTGAAGATGCAAGCTGTCACAGCCTAGTGACCACAGTTGAGATGCTAGCGCTGTGAATGAGAGGAGGAGAGAAGGGACAGCAAGGGAAAGAACATCACTGGACCCTGGTACAGGTAAGTGTGTGTTTATTAAAAGTCAGCAGCTACAGTTTTTTTAGCTGCTGACTTTTAGTAAACACAAAAATGGCTGGAAATCCGCTTTGAGGTTTATGGTTTCTGGGTAGCAAAGTAATTTCATGCACAATACCTTATTGAAATAAACCCTGGTGGCTCAGCCATGAGGTTCCTTTCAGGCATTCCCTGTTAAAAGGTAACAACTGTCCCTAAGTTGTGCTCCTACATTGTCACCCTGTCACATGGAGACTAAAAACAGCCAGTTGTAAAAATGGTGAAAAAAGTATTTTATGAGAAAAAAGGCAATTGGTTATGATACACAGAGATTTAGCAAATTAAACGTCACCCAGATATCAGGGGCGGACTGACCATTTGGAAACTCAGGCACTGCCCGAGGGCCCGGGGTCAGTAGGGGGCCCCTTGAGATGCCCCTGGTACCTTTTTCATAGGCTTTTTTGAGTTTGAGCAAGAACACAGGGGCCCCATGATCCCCTATTGCCCAGGGGCCCCATGAGTTGTCAGTCCGCCCCTGCCCAGATAGAGTTTAGCTTTACTAGTTCAAGTTGTACAGATGACACAGGATTTACAGAGCATAACGGCATTTCTAAACAGAGAGGACAGCAGGAGATCTCTTTTGATTGCATGTATTTTGTGAAAGGCAGATGCCAGCCTGTAGCATGAGGAGTCCCCTTTCAACTAGTTCTCCCAGTTTTAGTGGTGCAGCCTCCTGTTGTTCATATAAGGTAGGAGCAAGGTAATTAAGGGAGATGAGGTCAAAGTGTGGGGGTCAATAGGAGAGTGGGAGAACTGAACAAGGCAAAATGTGGACCATGGAGCTCCCACTTGCTTTCCTTTACCACCTTTTGGAAAAATTCTGCATATCATTGACTGTCCATTCATGTAATAAACTATGCAAAAAACCCCCCAAAAAGTAAATGTTTTTTTCTGAAAGTGTCTATGTGATTTATTTGGTGAAGCTATCAGCACAGGTAGGCCAAGCTTGACTTGGCGGGTGTCTATACAGTAGGATAATGCTTAAGGCCACATACACATGTAAAGTTTTTTTTTTCAACCCAGTGGGCTGAACGAAAAAAAACTGAGAGACTGCTGTACCAACACAAGCATTGCTGGTGTGGCAATCTCCCCCTCTGTGCTTTTGTGTTCTGAAATGGGAACTGACACCATCACCCCCCCCCCACCATTGCTTGCCAGCACTGATCAGATGCTGGATTTCCAGCAGGTTCCTTCAACCAAAGCCGGTTATTAGACCAGCTTCTTTTGGAAAGACAGCTGTACAAACTGTCCAAATGTCATCCGGGTTCTGTTGAATTGGCCTATATTTTGGTTGATAGTCAACCCGTGTGTACCCAGCCTAAGGCTAGCTACACATAAAAACCAATGTTAGTGCGGCGATCTCCCCCACTGTGCTTTTGTGTTCTGACAGGGTGACTCCCCTCCCCACCAGAACAAACAAACTGATCAGCACTGGCAACTATTGGCTGCCAGCAGCGTTGAATGCTGGTTTGATCTGCCATCACTGAAAACTTTAACTACGGGTCTCAGTGCAGGAACCGGCTTAACAATCTAAAGTAAAAGGGCATTACAAGGCGGCTGGCAGAAGGGTTAGAATATGAATATGTCCTGGTTGCTGTTGAACTCCCCCCCACAACATTATATGAGCGAGCACTGGCATCACCATTCCACTCTCCTCACCTCGAGAGACTTTAATTTTGTAACATGTTGCTTTGCACATATAAATCATATAATATTTGTTTGAAATGTTGAACTGGAGAAAAATGCATACATTTTGTGTCTCAGGGGAGAATCCCCTAATAACATTGCCTAACCATCTATCCACCAAACAGTTCATTGACATCCAGATAGTATTTTGGTAGAACTACATGGGCCAATACAGTAAATCTAACTATTAATTTCTGAATTATAGATATCTATTTTACAACGAGTCCACTTAACGTCACCTCCTCACTTGGGAAGGATATTGTTCTTCGGTGCACTGTAAGTGGAGAAAGGGAGCCTCCAGATGTGGAATGGCTGAGGGATGGAGTAACTTTGGCCTATGCCGACACTAACCAGATCCAGGTGCCAGAAGATGATGACAAATGGCTGGTCATCAGTGAACTGAGGTAAGTGGAACTCTTAACACCAGAGTTGGGTCAGTCATCCTGGTGAAAATCTGGTGATGAGTGAATAGAGGCCATCTTTGTGGTTAAGCAACCTGTCATTCTTCTAAAACACTCTGCATGTCTAATAATAAACTGCCATTCTTGGAATTTGGAAGAACCTTCATTACATTAAAAATAATCTATGTGTGTTTATAGACTGCTCTTTTTTGGCAACAATTAACATAGGCATATCGTTTTAGGGGTTCACTTGGTGTTTGAGAAATTATATAGGATGCCATTGATACTTGATCTGACATTGATACTAAACATGCCAATACTAGTTGCCTAGCTGTCATACTAAGCCTTTTTGCTTCTGCATTTTCAGTCGATTAAGGACTTCAGTCGATTAAGGGCTTTACTCATCTAAATATCTGTACCATGTCAGTGACACAGAAGACAATGAAACCATTAGGCCAATGCAAAAGCTAGGTAAATAGCATCTTCATAATTTGGCCAGAAATGGAAACTTCTGATCTCATGGCTTTAATACTATTTGAGGCACAGACACACAGCCAATAAAGTCAAAACTCCTGATTAGCATATTTACTTTGTTCAATGACTCTAAAATAATCAAAGCTAGTGGAGCACATGGCTGTCAAGCAGCTAGCATTTTTAAAATGCCGGAACGACTGCCTGTGTTTTGATCTCCAATCAGGCTTCCTTTAAACCACTGGTCTCCAAACTGTGGCGCGGATGTGGCCTTTATCTGTTTCGTAGTGCAGTATTCCACCAAGTGCCACCAATGATGGGCATGATTCCCCCTTCAGACAACATCAATGGGGCCATATTCTTCCCATTGATACCAACAATGGAGCACTATACTTCCCATTAATAGGGCATTGATGCAGCGACATTTTCTACTCCCACTGGCTACAGTCTTGTCCAGTAAACTGGCCCTTTGCTTAGAAAGTTTGGAGACCCCTGCTTTAAAGTGTTTCTAAACCCAAAAAACTAAATTTAATATATGGCAGCTCTTCAGGCTTTAGATGTGAGGGCTGCAATAGTTTCTTTCTTTGTAGGCTTTTTTTTCCTTTATTTTCACCTTGTGATCCTGCCAGTAACACACTTTCTGTCCTAGGGTGACAACACTTATATGGACTGTTCCTGGATTAGAAGTGTTGTCACCCTAGGACAGAAAGTATGTTAGTACTACAGAATACCTCTCCCTTTCCCCATCTCCATTACATAGATATCTTTTAAACCCTGCTTATATACAGTAAATCAAAATCAGATAACCACAACCATATCAACTTTAAAAAAAAAAAAAAAAAAACAAGAAGGCTATGGGTAATTTAAGGATATCTATTTAAATATATAAAAACATGTGAAAATCATCTTTGAAGTCTTTTTATTTCCTGGGTGAAAAGGTCGAGTATCAGAAATATCATTCAATATCTTGTTAGGGCAACTATCCTAGTGACTGGCACATAGCATGCTATAAATATCAACCTGACCAGTCACCACGATTAGCTGTATGTTATGTGGAAATTCTATAATCTGGAACTGGAATGCAAGTATTAACATATCTAAGCGTGGGGAATTTCAGTTCTGTAAACATAAATGGTTTGAGTAAGATGTTGGGACTTGGATTTCAGAGAAAGAAAAGGACACGAGGTCAGAGCAGAATGTGGAAGGAAAATTAAGTAAGCCTATGTGAAGCAATGGGAATAGCTGAGTCTGGGCTGGTCCTGCCATACACTTTTGACCCTATCATTCTGTTCTATTCATATGCCTAAACCCGAACTGTTCAGCTTTTATATTTCCTTCCACGTTGATGGTCATACAACCCAAGCACAACAATATTACTGTACTCCCAAGCTGCACTGCAGATATGTCTGTGCTAGCACACTCCATGTTTTTATTGTCTTAGGCCCCTCACATGGAGTGGACTCTGTTTGGATCAGCAGGGGATCTGCTCACAGATCTGCTGCTGATTGGAACAGAGTGGGTGGATGACAGGTCCATGTCCGCTGAGTTTATGCAGAGTGGACATGGACAGAGACGTCTCTGCCCTATGGGTGCTCGGGCAGGGTCATCTTAATAGCATCATGGGCCCCTGGGCAAAGTAATGCACTGGGGCCCCTACCATCCTGCCCCAATTTACGCACTCACTCTCAAGAATGAAAGTATAAATAGTTGATACAATTAAACATATATGTATTAGTATTTTCAACAAAATTGATTTTAAACAATAAGAAAACATGCCATAAATCAAAGACCAATCACCACAAAGGGCACAGTATGGGGTGGGGGGGGGTTAGGGGGGAACACTACTGGGATCAGGAGGGCACAGTACAGGTTTTGGGACAATGCTCAGGCCATCCCAGGACAGATTAGTAAAAAGCATGACTGTCCCGGAAAACTTGGGAAAGTTGGCAAGTATGATGTAATGCAAGATTATCATGGGGCTCTCATGAACTTGGGGCCCCTGAGCAGTGCCCAGGGGTGCCCATGCATTAAGACAGCCCTGTGGTCAGGTCGAAATGGACTCTTCTGTCCATTTACGCCTCTACTGCCCTCTGACCCGATCCACCTAGATGGAGGGGACGGATCCCTTTGCATTTTTTTAATGGACTGGATCTGATTGCAGGTAGGTGTAAACAGACAAAAGTCAGTTTACACCCGCTGGTCCTTAGGGATACACAGGCAATCTAATCAGGTCCAGCAATCTAATCAGGCAATCTGATCAGATGGTCTATGTATCCCTATGGATCCCTTGTGTCCGTTTACACCTGCCTACCTTCAATCCAATCCGGTCTGCTAAAATGAAACAGAAGCTGATCTGTCCCCCTCTGTCTAGGCAGATCGGAGGGCAGTCAGGTGTAAATGGAATCCATTTGCATCCAACTATCCAAAAAGCAGAGTGAGCTCTGTCCGTGTTTGCTCTGCATAAACTGAGTGGACATGGACCTGTGATCTGCCCACTGTGCTCTGATCAGCAGGGGATATGTGCGTGGATCTGCTGATCTGAATGGAATCTGCCCCATGTGAAAGGGGCCTTAATATGGTCAGAGGTTTGACTATCACTTTGATGTACCGTGGGCTTCCATGGTCAGATAATCCTGTGACTTTATTGGATGTAGCATGGCTCTCATTAAGACCCAAAGTCACCAACTACTACCTCCTTCCAAAATCAACTACTGTTCATGTACAAACACTTATTCATTTTGAAAATATATCTTTTTTTACCCACCCTTTAAGACCTCAAAAGGGGGTTTCACCTCAAAAGGGGGACCAACATCTAGCATATATGGACTTCCAAGTTCCAGAGGACCCTTGTGAAACTGATCCCACATTGATCCAGCCATACCAGCAAAGTCTCTAGCAACAAAATTTTTGGAGAAATTGGTCTGATTTGAATATTGCTTTATGAAAAAGTTCCAGTTTTCCTAAGATGAAAGATTAAATAAAATTATAAAATCACACATTTCTTAATGAAACCTTTTCCAGGCTGTAAATCCTTGAGACTAAGCACCACAATGCAAATAATGGAACTCCAGATGTCTTCATGTACTGTTTGACAGCAAAGTCAGCCTCTCAGGACTCCCCAAACTCTCTGATATGCACATCTTGACTTTCTCTTAAAAAGTCAAAGATTGTTCTGCTCCCTCTTTTTCTGAAAATCTGTTGTTTTTTCAAAGTCAAGGTTGACCTCCACATTAAACAGTGGGGATGGATGAATCCCCCTGCTGGGCTATAGTATTCTAACAGCCCAAAGTGGAGGCTGTCAGAATGACCATCTAATTGTAGGTAGCTTCCATTCATGAAACATTTTCAGTTCAATTATCAACTTTTGCTGAATGGAGCTGGTAGGGTCACCCACTAAGAGAATTTTGGCCAGTTCATCAGGAACTGGCCAAAATACACCCAGTGTATGGCCAGAGGTGTGGGGTCCTCCCCTACATCCGGGTCCCCATCAGTTCCCACTTGCATCAGGGTTCCCATTAGAGTCTCCTTTAAAGCAGGGTCTCCATCAGAGTCCCCTCTTACATTAGGGTCACTATCAGAATCCCTTTTATATCAGGGTCCTTATGAGATTCCCCCTTACATCAGGATCCGCACCAGAGTCACACTTATAGCAGGGTCCCCATCAGAGTCCCCTTTATATTAGGTCAAAGCAGAGATCATAGGCAGCCTCAGTTGACCTGAATCCTCAATCTCTGCATATTGAGAATATGTCACTGAGCCTAGCCATGGGCTGGATAAAATCTTTTAGCGGGCTGGATGTGGACCATGGGCCATAGTTTGGAAACACCAGCTTTAGAGAGTTTATAGTGCAAAAAGGGGTACGTTTTTTTAAAACTCCCCCTATTTCTGTTGATAGACTTATTGGCTGCTTGCCACCACTCTAATTGCCTTTGTAATCCTCCTATTGTGATTGTTTTTTTTCATAAAACTGATTGTCACTGTTTTCTTTCCTAAAATGTATAAAGAATTCTGAATTTATTGAAATTTTATTTTTATGAGCAGTTTACTGCATTTAAAATTTTTTGTACAGTAATCATACTATAATAGGCTTCTATCAGTGGCAACCCTCTCCCATAAAAGTAGCAAAGTCTCTGAGTGCATTTGGTTCTTCTCTTCTTGCTCGCGTCCCTGGTTGGCCCTCATATTCTTTTATTGTTAGTTTAAGAGCTAAACTACATTTGCAATTTTAATCTCACGATTCAGAGATTTTTGGTAATGACCTCATCTGCAGCACATTGAGTTCCATGTGTTGTTAATTAAATGTTTGCTAAAAACAGGTTTAATCTCTCAGTAGTGAGAGATTAATAACTATTCTAGTTTTGCCTTTATGCTAAATGACCTGCTATATACGGGCATCATGTTGTAGTGTCACTCTTTATTTTTGTTACTGCTTTTTTTTCTTGTTTTTTTTAAATAAGCTCCCTCTTTTAATGTGCCGGTTGATTTTTAGGGCAGCACTTCACAGACAATGTTCCTCTGTATTAGCCTAATCTCCAAGTAAATTGGGGTTTCATGTGTTTGCAAAGAGCACATGAAAACCGTAGAGCGCCATTTTTCAGCAGTGATAAAGTTTCATGTCTGTGTGGTCACTGACCTTTTCAGACTACCCTCTTCTAGTCTCTATACTGATTCCTCCATTGTATTATAAAAAAAAAAAATCTATGTTTATATAACACATTTTCATTTTATTGAAGCTATTTAATTTGTTCTTTTTCAGCATTCATACTCTTTTTCGCTGTCAGACGCAGGCTGGTATCAATGTTCTGTCTCTGATGAGGAAAATACAGTGCTGTCTGATGCAGCATTTTTGCAACTAGAAGGTAAGATAGGACCTGGGGTCTGTTTAAAGTACAATAAAAGGCTCCTGTACGACAGTCTAAACAAGAGCCAAATCCAGTTACTCTGTGATGCACAAGCCTTAAAATGTGAGCAAATAACTTCCTTTACCTCCCTTGACTGAGCCAAATTCTTCTTCATGTCCTTTTATGTCTTACATGCTCACCCTTCCAGACACTGCTACCCACATTGGGAGGGTTTTAGAATCAAAGGGAGTTCTGCCAATCATGAAAGCAGTTGGTGGGAATAGGGGTGGCCAGATGCCAATTGGCAAACTGCAGGTTTGTGAGCGGTGACAATGCTGAAAACTATCCCCATAACATTTTTTTCATCCTACTGTAGTACAAGACACAGCCTACATGAAATATTAATCTCTGCTCTGAATTCAAGAGCAGTGCAGCATTGTTGCCACTTCATTACCAGAATCAACAGTTGTTTTTGGGAATTTGCAGGAGGCGAATAGAAAACTGTTAGAGCACATGTACTTCCAGTTATGGGTTCAGCACATATTATATTTTCAATGGGATGACCATACTTTTACTTTAATCTGAAGCCAGTGGACCCAACACTGGGCCTAATATATGACAGTGTCTTAAATTGGAGGTAGACCCATCAATCTACCAGTTTCCCAAAACAGTTACATTGAAGACATGCCATGAATGATAACTGTCACAGTTGCCTGTGCTGTCAACTGAACTGAATGAATTTGATGGATCAAATGTGCAGCATGGCAACTGCAGATCAAATAAAGGCTAAGATGGCAGCTTCCTTGGTTGTAAAAGGATAAGGAAAGTTTAGTTTCACTTTAAGGAAGAACTGACTATTGTATTTCCCTAATCTGCTGAACACACGTTAGCCTGTATGGGTTAGTGTACCACAACACACCACAGCAGTGTGAATCTAGCCTTAGGAAAAGCCTGGAAACATGAAAAGGCTATTCTGTTTGGTTAACCTGGTGGGTTCAATTGTCTATTTTACTCAAACAGTATTACTTCTTGTAATGCCACTACAGATAGTTTGCATGTATTCTCCAATAATAAGTGTTGGACTGCTAGGCAAAGCTTGTACTGTATTAAAAACACACGCATTATAAAAAAGATTCCTATGCGCTGAAAAAAATTTGAGTATTCAATTGGACTTTAACTTGATGCGAAATCAAGGACACAGGAAAAGAAGAGAAATCTTTCTATGGGGATACTTGTTCTGGTGACAATTGTATAAGAGGGGATTTCCCATAATCTGGAAAAGTTTCCTTCTACTTCCTGTTGTGGCCACTGGGTGGGAAGAGAGGAGAACTCTCCGGTACAAAAAAAACCTGATAGGGATATTAACCATTTCCCAATCTATTACATTGAATACATAGAGGAGGTGCAACTGTATATGTAATATTTGACTATACTTGTTTTAATGTTACATTTAAAGTAACATTGGATGTTTTATACGTGATGCTGGATGGGACTACAACTGCACTTCATTTTATGAATTTTAGAGAATGATCATAACTATCTCTTAATCTCTTAAAAAATCTGAATAAAGTGATGTAATGCTTTACTATGTTTGTACTGAATTTTGTTGTAAAATTGGCTGTCCTGCAACTCTTAGGCCTCATGAACACTGGGCGTTTAGTCCCAGTGCGCGAGGCTCTGGTGTTTAGGGTGAGTGGTATGAATATTTAGGGCACCCTAAATATCCTATTTAATGACCTTTGAATAGTATCGGCTATGTTTTGTATTGAGATAGAAAGAGCTTAGGTAATAGAAAGAGAGACTGATTGGGAAATAATAGTCTGAAGAAATAAATTTTAATTTATATGGTCTTTAGTTAATGATGTTATCCAACTACAGCATTTACATTGTTTTAAAAATGAGATATTTGTTTTAAAGAATTATGTGTCTGTGTAATAATATTATCACAATTTGTTTCAATCAGGTTTACCGATCTTCAGTGATGAACCAGAAGACATGCATTTCTACTCCGATCTCCACTTTAATCTGAGCTGTGATGCTCATGGACCTCCTGACCCTGTACGGGTAATATGGCTGCAGGATGGTGTGCCCCTGAACTCCTTGGCTGATGAGCTGGCACTTACACCTTCATTGCTTCAAGTAAGAGGTAAGAAGCCTGAAAAACAAGTCTGATCATAGGTGTAATAAAATGAGGTGGACAGAAATTCAAAGTCTATCTAGTTGTGCATAGGAGTAATACAGTCTTGCATTGGGTTACTAACTGACTACTGTAGAAAGCTTGGAGTTGAATGAAATGCATATTTGGACAATGTAATTTTATTAAATATGCAAGCTTTTAGGACCCAGTTGGTTCATATCATCAGGCTTCATACAATTCTGAAAATGATTCTGAAACTCACATATTTAGACAGTGAGTTCTCTTCCCTTTGTAAGTGCATGTGCATGAATATGTAGTTTATGGAACCCTTTTCAGAATTGAAGCTCGAGGAATGGATCTGTGAAGAGTTCACAAGTTCACAAATGGAAGTTTGTTTTTACTTGGGTGGGTTGCAGACTGTCTGAAAGCCTCCGAGGGGATGCAGAGAGCTCAGCATGTTCCTTGTTTAGCAAAGGTGATAACCCTTGGAAGGGCAAAGGTGCAGGGTCTAAGGAACTACCTGGTCTTCACCAGAGCTCCTGATGGTGGAGATGTGATTGGTTTCTTATGACTCCCAGGTTGCGGCCATCTGACTTACCCAAACAATCAGGCTACTGGAGACAAAGTATGATTAGGTAGGGACCAGTCTTTTGAAAGCACAGGGATTCGCAGAACACAGGCAGCAGTAGAAGGGGTCACTGGGACAGGGTACAATTTGGAGTGAACGGGGTCACACTGGAGGCAGGTTGCTGTGCACTGAATCACAAGGTGGCACTGGAAGCAGGTTAGAATGCACTTGAACACACAAAGTCAAGGAGAACAGGCTGGGATGCTGTGGGTCACAGGAGGTCACTGAAATCAGGTTGCAAACAGAACTGCACAGGGTCCCACTAGAGTAAATTTTAAGCAGGGGCACATGAGATCACTGAAGCAGGGAGCAAAGTGGAGTGCACAGAACCACAGAGGAGCTTGAAGGACACAGAGAACATTGGAGGCCACTGGAGGCACACGGGAGCTGGGTACAGGCTGAATAGACCTTTGGAACACTGGAGGTCACCAAGATAACACTAGGAGGATCTGAGAAGTCACTTGGAAACACAGGGAGTTTGGCTGCAAGTGTATGAATGAGTTGCTCGAAAGCTAGCCCTTTAGGACAGCACCCTACTGTGAATAGCTTTGGTGCTGGTGTAAGCAGGAAGCAATCGGTCATACACAGAGGGTAAGACCTGGCGCTGGAGCATGGAACAAGAGTGTGAGAGAACCCAGTGGGTCCTTGCATTTCTAATAACTTAAGTTAGGCAATAAACAATATCACTCAAACTCCAAACTTTCTGGTTGTGTATAGAAAATAATATGAGTACTTTAAGCTTTAGGATCATAACAAATATTTTCCATTTTAAGAAAACAGTGAAATAATGGATTTATTTTTGGTGATAGTGTTGAAGATTCTCTGAGTATTCACAAAGCATGAAAGTCGATAGTGTGTTAAGGTCTGATAGCTTGCCATCATTCCATTTAGCCTTGCAGGAACATGTCATGCCATTTAAATAGACAATAGCAAACTAATTAGTGATCTCACATACACTGGCTTACAACAGATTTGCTTCAAGCAACGTATTGTCAAGAGGAACTGTGAGCGCTCAACAATTGTGTTATTGTTACGTATGTGGAAAGGAAATGTTGTTTTAACATGTCTTAATTATTATGATATATATTTGAGGTTATAAAAGTCATTTCCCCTGCTACGTCCGCAATTTTTTACTGTAAGGTAACAAACACACATCAAATGCTTTGGTTACTGACAATGAAATCTTTATTTTTTAAATATGCACATTCTACAGAATTTCTTGTTATTTCAGTATATTCCAGTATGAGTCATTACTTAGAGTAGAGCTCCAGCTTTCTCTATAGTTTAGGGTAGATTTGGTAAGATTAGGACTGCCAGGTCTTTACAGCTTGCATGGGTGTGCCAAGCCATAGGGCTGCCAGACATCTTTCAATAAGCAGGCTTCTAACTATATTGTACACAAAATTAAAATCTAGGATTAACCATCAATCTGGAGTCTTCTTGCAATGTATATTCCAAGCCCACTTTTGACAGACCCTTTATTGCAAAAAATAATGATTCCTTTATTGCAAAATTATATCTGGACCAATCCCTAGGAGTGTTGCTCTCATCATTTTATTCTCTAAAAGTTTATTCTCCCAGGGGCCCCTTTGGGGCTCTTCCAAGTAATAGAGAGCTCACACACTATGGCAAATATTTGATTTATTTAGATTTATTTAGATTCCTGGTTTAAAATTCTTGGTTTTTACTGCCATCTGTGCAACAGGAATGTTTCTCTCTCCAGTACAGATGAAAGTTGAGAGATTTAGATGGAGGAAAAAGTGACCCATGTAATCCCAAATAGTGGCTGGATGTAAGTGGATGTGTATCTGCCTACCTCCGGTTAGGTCAGTAAAATGCAAATTAATTGAGTTCAGCCAGACATATCTGAACAGATCCAAATGTGTGCAGATACAGTAAATTTAAAAAGTATTCATACCTCTTGAAATTTTCCACATTTTGTCATGTTACAAACAAAAATGTAAATGTATTTTCTTGGGATTTTATGTGATAGACCAACACAAAGTGGCACATAATTGTGAAGTGGAAGAAAAATGATAAATGGTTTTCAACATTATTTACAAATAAATATCTGAAAAGTGTGGCGTGCATTTGTATTCAGCTTCCCCAAGAGTCAATACTTTATACAACCCCCTTTCACTGCAATTACAGCTGCAATTCTTTTTGGGGATGTCTCTACCAGCTTTGTACATCTAGGGAGTGAAATGTTTGCCCATTCTTCTTTGCAAAATAGCTCAAGCTCTGTCAGATTGGATGGAGAGCATCTGTGAACAGCAATTTTCAAGTCTTGCCACAGATTCTCAATTGGATTTAGGTCTGGACTTTGATTGGCCCATTCTAACAAATAAATATGCTTTGATCTAAACCATTCAATTCTATCTCTGGCTGTATGTTTCGGGTCGTTGCCCTGCTGGAAGGTGAACCTCCACCCCAGTCTCAAGTCTTTTGCAGACTCTAACAGGTTTTCTTCTAAGATTGCCCTGTATTTGGCTCCATCCATCTTCCCATCAACTCTGACCAGTTTCCCTGTCCCTGCTGAAAAAAAGCATCCCCACAACATGATGCTGCCACCACTATGTTTCACGGTGGGGATGGTATGCTCAGGATGATGTGCAGTGTTAGTTTTCTGCCACAGATAGTGTTTTGCTTTTAAGCCAAAAAGTTCAATTTTGGTCTCATCTGACCAGAGCACCTTCTTCCACATGTTTGCTGTGTCCCCCACATTGCTTCTTGCAAAATGCAAATGGGACTCCTTATGGCTTTCTTTCAATAATGGCTTTCTTCTTGCCACTCTTCCATAAAGGCCAGATTTGTGAACTAATTATTGTACTGTGAACAGATTCTCCCACCTGAGCTGTGGATCTCTGCAGCTCCTCCAGAGTTACCATGGGCCTCTTGGCTGCTTCTCTGATTAACGATCTCCTTGTCTGGCCTGTCAGTTTAGGTGGATGGCCATGTCTTGGTAGGTTTGCAGTTGTGCCATACTCTTTCCATTTTCAGATGATGGATTGAACAGTGTTCCGTGAGATGTTCAAAGCTTGGGATATTTTTTTACAACCTAACCCTGCTTTAAACTTCTCCACAACTTTATCCCTGACCTGCTTGGTGTGTTTCTTGATCTTCATGACAAAATATGGAAAATTTCAAGGGGTATGAATACTTTTTTCAAGGCACTGTATTGGTGGATTCACAACCACTTACATCTGGCCACTCATAAAGATACATTGCAGTCTGTTTTGGATTGGTGTAATCACAGGTCAGATATGGACTACTACCCATGTAAAATAGACTTTAGAAAGATTTTATTGCTTCCTGATCTTGTAAAGGGGCAATAGTGAGTGGAAGTATCCCCAGTGGGGACAACAATAACCTGACAGAGGTTTTGACCCTTCTCAATTGTCAATGGCTTTGGGTTTATGTTGATCAGTTTGAGATAATTCACACCTTAATAATAGGTGTATGTGACCTGTAGTAGTCCTCCTTCTAAGCTGCTTCAACCTGCTTCAAACTGCTTTTGCATATCAGTTGACAGTTCTGACATAAACAAAAGGTCATTCTTAAAGGGAGACGCAGATTTGGTTGATTGGTGAATTCACCTACACTCTGCTCTCTCCTTCTATCAGCATTCTGCTGTCAGTATTGATTGGATCCTACTGGAGATCCACCCACTCCAAGCCTACATGCTGCAGTACAGGTGATCACAGGAGGCTGATATCAAGGCAAATCCATGTATTTACTCTAGTTTCACCTAATATGCCTCTACATTTGTGGTTATGACCTTATACAACTTCATTCATATGTGGTTTTATATATGCTTGAAGTTCAGCTTTAAAGTATTTTTTAGTTTTGGATATAGTAGGCTGAGTACACACTTATAAAGAAGAAAAATTTGATGCTTTCGATAGTCGATTCTGACTGTTCGGACAAAAGAAAAAACTAAGGTGCAAGCTAGAAAATTTTTATCGTATGTGAACACAACGTTAGATTTTCATTCAATGTGTACAGTAATCGTACAGAAATAATGGAACAGAGAAAATTGTACATGATCAGAAGCAAAGAATGACCTGGAAGAAAAGGGCAATATAGAAATCATACACAATAAAAAGTTAACACCATTATCAGGTACATCATAATATGCACCTTTGTGGAAAATCAGATTATCTGATTTTCTCATAGTTTGTACCCAATCTAGCCCCTGTTAGATTTTTTTTTATCTGTATCCCATTAGGGAGATTTTCCCTTTAGGGCTTGTGAGTTTAGGAGCTTTTAGCATTTTTTTTGCCAAAGCCCCTGAACTCAACTCAGTAAAAGCCTGTATGTCACACATAGGCTTTTACCAGAGTATAGGAGCAGCAGAATTAAGGGGCAGGTAAACGTCCCT